AAACGAGTTCATTTTATTTCGTTTGACTGCGCCTTCATTTGGCCTAATCTTTCTTTCAATATAATCTATTACTGATAAATACTATACAACATTATTCGTTGGAAGAAATATTTTGTTAAAGTCATGTTTTAAGTGTTATTCCTTCAATTTTAAGGGAGGGAAAACCGTCACCAGTAGACCAAATAATTGATAACATCTTGGTTCTTGTACATATTTAAGAAAAAATAATCTTAGCGTATCTACGATATGTGAGTTGATAACGGTTGCACTAAGCCTCACAAAGACTAAACCGGTCACTCTTATGTCGCAGGTTAACGGATAATTTGTTAGGGAAATACTTATTTACCACTGACGTGCTCTTATCTAATTAGCATCTATAAGCTGTCGTATCAAATGGCTCCTATCTCGACAGGGCCGGATTTTGATTTCATTTCATTTACACGTTTTAACTATCCTTATTTCATTTTTTTTTGAAGATACATTCAATTTGTACAATTTGCTAATCGCACTCTGTTCCTAAACCTATGCCGGGTGTAGGGAACTTTTCTTAATTTTTTTTTAAATAGTATGGCTAATTACTAGTCAAGTCATTATTAATTATTAATATGAAACATTCATCGGGGAAAATAATAAATAATTCAGTTTTTAGCGACCTGCCCAATATTTTCTTGCCGATTATGGACGGAAACAACTTAATTTTATAATTTGTTAACATAGGCATCCAAGGATCTCATTTTGAAGCTGACACTGGCTTCTGAGCAGGTGAGAGTGGGGTGACGAGCTTCTTATCCTTTCACTTTATAGATTTGCACATTGTAACTAATAACCTTTTGCTAACGTTTGGTGTAAATCAAATTGTAGATGCATAATTCATAATTTATAAAGTTTTAACATAATATTTATTGTGTCTATCTAAAAATCTTTGGGAAGCGATTAAAGCGTCAAGTCGTAACAGCTGACCGTTTGATAAGCATTACTTTGATGTCATGCTTTATGTCGTTTGGTCTGTAAAATCGTAGAGAAGTATACGAGTTTTGTTTATCTCTAGAAAACATTTGACAGAGTAGTGCGAAAAGAGTTCTAAGGCGTATTGAGATATATGGTATGGAGAGCCTGCCATCTCTTGCCAACCAAAGTTTCGCCTATGTTTCACTTTGACAAGTAACGATTAGCAAACTTAAGTATGATGACATTTCATTCAGTAGAATTATCGTTAAGTTGATTATTCTTATGACAAAAAACATTTGGAATATTTATCATTTGTCCAATCTTTCGTTTGTCCGATCTTTCATTAGGCCACACAACTTAGACGAATAACGTTTCGTCAACGAATCAGTCCCCTTTTCATACATTGGCCAGCGTGAAGAGTCATGGCCCATGCTTCTTAACCATTCATAAGGAAGGCCTGAGCCTCTCCAGTGGGGGCGCAAAAAGGGCTGATGATGATGATGATAAAATTATAAACAACCTCAAAGCATTTAACAAAGGCACGCCTTAATGTAGTGATTCAAGAACACACTAATGTAGTCAGATAGCGATAGATGTTCCCATACAACAAGTATGAAAAAAAGATACAACGTGAAAGTGTTAGGTCTAATATTTATGATATTGTTATGTAAAATATATCCTTTCATCTTGTAAATTCAGTGAAAGCTTCCGTTTTAGTCGACTCTACCCCATAAAACGTCTTCGGAAGATATATTTTGACAGTGTGTAATTAATTAAATGATTTAAGCGCATGATAGCGTGTAAAGCTGCGATGTCAATGATAGTGATAGTGCGCTTGCAGTCGGCGATTGTGAATTTGTGAGTCACTTGCGATTCCTGGCCGGTATCGCTACACGCGCATCTCGCGTGCGAATTGATTTGTGGACGAATGCGGTCTTATGTACTTTCTGCAATATATTTAAATAATATATTGCATAACATTAAATCAGACAATCGGAAATATTAATATATTATATCTACCAACTGACACACAGCGGTTGCATGAATCCAGAAATTCAGGAGCATTCAAGTTATTCAGCAGCATTCAAAAATTAATAAAGAAGTGGTTACTTACATATTGGAAAAATTTGATAAATAACGGATTGAAGTTCCTAAAAAGCATTCTAAATAACAATTACAGCTATTATTGTATTTGTTGGCGCTTGTTATATTTTGATTCATGAGCACTCCGACGGCCTTTGTTCTAGATAGTTTGACTCGAATCTTGAATCTACTTACATAGATATATAAACGTGAAATAACGTTTGTGAGTCTCACTAAAACTCGGAACAATTGGACCGATTTTGATTTTGAAATAGTTTTTGAAATTAATTAACCATGCTTTAATTTAATTTAACCATGCTATTCAGCTATACTTATAGTTATCAAAGTCCATTTTATTGAACTTTATATCTAATTCTGAGACGGGATGAATTTTACTATGAATTTTAGAAAAAACAAAATTATTAAAATTAATTAAATAAATAAATTAAATGATTCATGCTTCTCAGTCCTTAATATTAATAAGGTTTATTATGTTGTTCTTTAAAATTCTTAGTAAATGACTCCGGTAGTCACTTTCCCCGTTTTTCCACAATTAGCGTCATTTGTGTTAATGCGCTGCGACATCAGATAAACTCCTGCGCAGAATCAGATGCAACCACTGATTTGATGTAGCGCACTGCGCACCTCTAAAATGATGTGGGAAAATACTTTCACTGTCCTTTGTTAAATGAAAGCATGGAGTTAAATGTTATTATTTTAATTTCGTTGTAATATATCTATGTATCTGGATTAAGTTTTATTTCATTCGGTTTCAGAGTTATAATTCTTTGGAAACCTTTATTAGGAATAAAAATATCCCTTGGTCTAATTAAGACTGAAGATCCGTTCCGAACATCCATAAAAGCGTTTTCATATGATATCCTGCCTAACATGCATATACAAGCATATTCATAGTATTTGTTTACCAATAAAACTGGTATTTGTCTTTATGTCTAGTAAAAAATCATATCAAATTCATTCTTTCCGGGTTAACAAATATATTGGCATAGTTACAAAGTTTTGGCAGTATTTTGCATTTTAAAAATATACAGTTTAAAATAGCGTACGTCGTTGCAGACAGTTGAATGTTGATGCGCAAAAAATAACTTAAACAATTGCAAAAAATCAAATTGGAATTCGCATTCATAATTAATGAAGTTTTATTTTTGATAATTGCCCCGTAACAAAACCGACAGATAAATTGGTAGCTAATTGTCGGATTCTATCTAACCGCAACACACCAAATTAATACTTGAGGCTGATATCCGGGTACGTATTTAAGATATTTGAAATAAATTCTCGTTTTTGCCTGTTTTGATTGGTAATTTACTCAGTTGGTAGTCTCTATGTTGTAATGAGTGAATGAACACATATTGTTGTAATGTGATAAAAAAACATACTGCTTCGATCTCGAGTAAGATAACAAATATGAAACTTGGAAAAGAAAGAGTTGTTGTTCTGTGCTAAAGGAATACCATTTTGTTTTAAATTAGTTTAATATGTACTGGAAATATAAACGCCCATTAAAGAGCACTTTTGATGTCGTTTAGACATCAGCACATCAGATTGCAAGATGTGATGTTTGGCGATTATGAGCTTTACTTTTCTATCATTAAAGTTTAAAATGAATTGAGGATATATGACAGTTTTATATAACCGGATATATTGTACTTAAAAACCATATTTTCAACTTTGGATAAAATTAAATCACTACTACCACACAACGTATTATCTGCATGTATCGTATGTTTGTTGCTCAACAATTTTTTATTTAATTAATAATAGGATACTATAGTTACTCCCCAATACTATAATTCTGATTATTACCTTTGTAATGTTCTGTACATTACATTTTTACAACACCTATAGTATGTTAAAATAATTTACTACGAGGAACATGTTAATGCACGAAAGATACTGTGAATGAACATTAAACCATCGTTATATTATAGTACTTTGGATATTTCAATGTTTCTTTTCCGTTTCCATTTAAATACTTGTGTCCCGTCACTTGCCGATTTTAGTATGTAAATATTGAAGTTTTTCTATGATGCTTTGTCGAATTATCTGTTAAACTTTGACAGGTGGCGTTAAAGTCAACTCTTCACAGAGACTCGGTAAACCATGTAGAGTTAGATATTTTTTCCTGCGCAGATAGTATAACGCAAATTAAAAAGCTTTGTTTTATGTTCTGTTTGAATTTGCACCAGAAACGTCTGGCGCCAGCGCACACCTTATTCAGGAAGCTACAACATTTTCCAATTCATTTATTCCAACTTACTAGCCGATTCTTGTTCTCACTAGTGCTAATGCACAGATCGTACCATCCAACCCTTTCCTGAATGCAGTTAAATCTTTTATCTTTACCAAATCGACTGTCGTAAATCCAACTCGAGGTCCATTGTTGCCGTACACAGTACTTATATGGGAGAGACCAAAATAAATCACGAACAAAACCATATCGGCGCAATCGTAGACTATCTCGGTCGGATCGACCGCGGGGGACTACGTCGAGATACGGAGATATTACGCTATTGAATTAGCATTACCGCTGTTCTCGATACTGTACGGACTGGGCATGCCTCATAATTTAGTGTGCTGTATTATTTTAATTTCCCATCGTGCGTCCGTAGCACCAGCGCCAGACGACGGACGGTATGTCGCTTGAATCGTGCGAGATTCCACATCGCGATAGTATTAGATGCATAATCTTCACATCTCTGTTTGCGTCGATGGCATCCGCGGAACGTGTAATATCTCCAGTGCTTCTGTTTAAAGCTCGCTGACAGTATTTGCTATTCATTAAAATTGTATAAACAATTTTATTGCTATTATGTTTGGTCATTTTTGCATTGACAATGCTATAATGGAAAATATTCTTAATGAAAAATCCCATCTCTAAGTACCAGAGATAAAGTGATTTTTTTTTAACATTTTTCAGTAAGAAAATTTTATTGTTTTTGTTGCAGGTGGCTCAGCGACCTGAATGATCTTGACATCGACAACTCCACCTATTAAATGTAAGTTAAAAATGTAATTATAGACTTTAACGAGAAATATTCTATTGTCTTCCAGTCTAAGTATTGTTTACTTCTTCGTCCGAGGCCATCGAGTTATTTATACTGTATATAAATATAAATCAAGCTTGATTAAACTGTACTCAATGTTCGTTATTTTTATATGATGAGCTTTTAGGAACATATATGTTATCTCGTTATCAATCCGTCTAGTATTGATTATAGCGGTTTATTTAGTATTTAGAGGTTCATTTCATATGACGTCAAGCATGCCAAATAAATTTTATTAATTTAATATGATATCGCCACTATCATATTAATAAATTTAATGATACATCTATGGACGCTCGGGTAACCAATCATATCTAGTCAATTAGGTTGGTTCGGCATCTCGTGCCGACCGATTGTCACTTGACCGGGCCCGACACGAATGGAATCAAACGTTAACCCCAATAATGATATCGGCGATCTATTGCCGCGGGTCGCAGGATACTGAGATATTGAATAATAATTGGTGCACACGAGTATACTGGCCCGGCAAGCGTCACGATGGAGATGGTATCGAGCGAGCGTGCCGCATCCATCAGTCCTGGACGCTATCGGATCCGGTATCGCGCCCCACAGATAACCATTGTCTTACCGTATTACCGATTATATCGGCGAAATTTGTGCTCGCCTCCGATAGGCCGTTTGTCTTTTACCGCAAATGAGCCACATAATGGGCGACCGTGCATAAAAGGAACGAACCAACGCTAAACTTTTGCCTAGTCATTAATAAGTCGTGGGAACCGGAACTTCAAGTGACTACATAAGATTCTTTCCAAAAATATGTATGCTCTGGTTATGCTTATTTAAAAAAATTGTATATATTATTGTAGTCATTAAATTTAGAATACATTTTAAACAGCGTACTGTCTTAAAAAATATGATGTCACTTTAAAATCATTTTTATGGGATTCATTTGTGTATAAGACGCTTTGCAAGTATTTGAACGACTCCATCCATTAATTAAATACTGTATTAGTTAACGCTATCTAAATGCCTTAGACTTAAATCCGAATCCACAATGTCGAAACGATTTTATCGCCTATAAAACAAGTTGCAAGTCTTTACTGTTTGTTGTGTAATAGAAACTGCAGAAGCATCGCCCGACCCTTATTAATTTACTAATTCCTATTCAAACCTACAAATAAACCTCTTTATTCTTAAAACTGACTATAATACAGCCGGCAAATGTACTACCAATAAAATACAAGGTGCAGGCATTTAAATTCAGCTGATTGCGCACCCGACCACTTAATAGCATTAGCATCATTGTCCGGCCGTCGTTAATAAGTGGCCGGACATTTCTATTGGTCCCGCCCCGACCAGCGATAGAGTGGACTACTGGCCAAATGGGCACCGTATCATAAAATTAACTGACCTTCATAGGGAGACCATTAAGTTCTTTGATCCGATTAATTTCAATAGCAGTACGGAATTCGATTCTGTTTTCAAATACATATTTCGGTTCTAAAAATATATACTGTCCGTATTTCTGTTAAATTGACTACCACAATTTTACAGTAGAAAACAAATCACTATCTGAGTGAATAGAGTAAAACTATAAGAAAAGTAGTTTCAAAGAACTAAGTTCACAAATACCGATATTTTCTATTTTTTTTTTGTTGAATTACTAAATCGCACACAGTAAAAAATGTTTTGTGTATCCATCGAAAACTATTTGTGTTACCGTTGTGGGAGTCAATTCGTTGATCTCTCTATTAACTCACTTGACATCGATTCCTTTTATCGCTTTACTAATGCTAAATCGCGTTGATTGAGAACAGCTGTAATAATCGGAGATCCAAATTAGTTTTTCTGTAGACATTTTTCAGATTTTTTCATAACAATATTTAAAAGAACTGTATTTTTTTATCTGGTATTCTAGTATACAACATAGAGTTCCTCTTTTCCGTTATAGTATTGAGTTTTCATATTAAATAAACAATTTTACGGCAAATGTTTTATCTTACCTATTAAAATGTAATAGGTACTTGAAAAACAATAATTCTTAGGTGATTAATATTTATACGGTTTTTTATGATTATAGCTAGATATAAGTTCCTTAATTGGAAGTTTTACCGTATCATATGTTACTCATGTTTAAGAATATATTTTCCAGGAATTGAAGAATAAACATAAGACTGTCGTCATAATTGAACTTAAAGTACAAAAGAGTATCATCTCAAACATCTAAAATCATTTTACAGTTTATCGCTCTCAGACGGCTAGTTACACTGAGGGACTATTATATGTGGTTATAAAATGTTAATCCTTGCACAAATATATTTCAGATCTTGTACTATAAATCCATTTAGTCGATGAAGGGCCTACACACCAGTTCGTCAATTAAGTTCAATTACCGCTTACTGCTTCGCCTTTGATACGCCGACGACACATTAACAACCGACTCCTGAGCTACTCCATTTGTCGACGCGCGCGCTTCTAATTGTAGGATTAATTTAGCTATTAGATTTCCTTTTGATTTGTTTGTGCTTGATATTATTTGATTGAAAAGGTTTATGTGCTTAATCTAATTCAGATTCCGAAGTGACCTTTTTTATACGAGTATGACATTTGTCATTGTTGGTCAGAATAGTGTTTTTGACTGATCTGTGTTCATAATCCTATCATATAGGCAATTATGGTAAGCATCGAGTTCAAGTTCAAGCATTAGACAAAGTTTTCACTCCATGTGCCCCGGTTGGACTGCTTTGTTGCTTGTTGTTTTCATCTCCTTCGGAGCGAGGGTTTCAAATCCGAGTCCGAGTAGCGTAAGCTTATGTAATTTCTGGAACTATTTCACACGAAATTTAGAATATTGTTTATATTTTATTATTTATTAACTTAACGTGTAGAAATTGGCAAAAGAATTTGGAATTATTCGTCATGAACAACCAGCATCGAATCCAAACGGTACGAATTTATTTATTTTGCATCTTCAAAAATCGTGTATTTCATGGAAAATCTTAATGAATTTATGTAAAACAACATGAAAAGGTAAAGGTAAAAACACGCAACGTTGGCTAGTTTTTCACTTTATCGCATTCAGACGAATAAACAGGACATGGCACGAACAGCGAAAAAATAAAACGTAGAAATACGAAAGGACTTAAACCAAATCAAGTAAAAATAATTTATTCAGTCTAGGCTGTTACATGGCACTTGTGAAAATCGAAAACTATGCCAAAGACGATGAAACTACGGCTGTGGACTTTCTTCTGATATATATACGGCGGATACCAGATATATCAAGAGCCGGTTCAAACATACAAATTGACAAATCAATATACAGATTTCATAATAATAGAAAATGGACGAAACGACCCGACGCATACGACACCACCATAGAGATTTTTAAGAGAGTGTGACTACTATAGATATTTAACTTATGCAGTGAATTAAGGCAGCTAATTATAATACTTCTATCAATGGCTGCAGGACACGGCACATAATACATAGGTATAATGTTAATCACATTAGATTAAAATATGCCACCATGCCTTTTTGTCATTTAGATATTCTTTAACGGTATAATGCCCTTTACTTTGTAGACAATTTTTAATACGACTTTTAAAATTATGTATTGGCAAATCTAATACATATATCACTGGGGGTCTTGTTAAAGTAATGTATAACTTTACCCATGAATGAATCTTATACCTCCTGTAATCTGTAAGAAGGCATTACTAGCTTGTTTATATTTCTAGTGTTAGGTTTGTGTATATCACTATGCTGAGTATACATATTACTATTGTGCCGGACAAAAAGACAAAAAAATTAGTTTCTTTGAATCGAGGAAAGACAGAGTTCTGTTATGTCAACGTTGCTTTTAGCTGGCATGGATAATTTGAATTGCTGTAATTTTCATTATTACCGGTACGAGTTACTTAAAACTTTAAATTATGGGAAATTGTTAAAATACACTTAAATTGATGTCCGTCGAACAATATTCGCATATGATGTCGCGTTTGTTATTAAACGTCCTGATAATGCGATGGTATACTTCTTAATTGGTTATTGCACGATACGAGCACTATCGGAGCACTATTTCCAACATAATAAGCATTATCATAACAATAACAAGCTAGTAAGTTGCGGCACTCGAGGTGCTCATGCCGGGATACGATAACCCGTTCTCAGTCTGATTTCATGTGCAATACCTACTGTACATTTAATAATTTGTTTCCTCTTCATTTCATTTAATATTTGGATTTTTCGTTCTTTAGTTAACAGTAAGACTAGGTGTTTATTGTGTTCAGTGTTTTCGCTTATTATTAGTGTAATTAAAAGTGGTGTATGCGTTAAGGAAAGTTCTTGCTGAAGGTAATTAAATTGTGGTCTATGCTTGAATATTCTCTGTACTTGTATGTAACTATCTGTCTGTGACGCTTTTACGGCCAAACATAGGCTCAATCTGATGAAAGACATAGATATAGTTTAGCAGAAGCTTTCCAAAATATCAGAGTATCTTTAAGCTTATGTTACATTATTTTCATGTAAGAATTAGAACGACGGAACTTTTAAAAGATAAATTTTGATATGCTTTTTATCTGTCTCAAAGTTGTATGACTCAACATTTTATCTTAATTTCCAAGTTCGACTCGTTTTGTTATATCAATAAGGAAGTTCAGATACCTCTTTTATTAATATTGTACCAATAGATCTGTTTCTAAAAAGCTGTTTATGATTGATAGTGTAAGTAATTTATTCTCGGTCTTCATAATTAGGCCATTGTTGCCCGTCACTGTACAATGGTGGTTTTACACGTCTCAAATTGCCGTAGAGAGCAATGCGCGCTTGTACGAATGTAGATTTTTTTTTCTTCCATTCAAACGGACGGTGTGCGGTGTAGCATCTCAATTTCTTAGCAGGTACCCAAAGGTTTCATTAATCATGTCTCGTTTACCCAAGGACGCTGCTGTTAAATTGTGTGAATTAGTTTTGTGTCTTTTTTTGTTATAGTGGCGAGATGATCAACAAGGTTTGTGGATGCTTCAAATTTGGATGATTTTGGTGTTTATTTTCTTAAGACATATTCGCTCTTTTGAGCATATTATTTTAATTAACTAAACGATCTATATTGTCACTATACTCTATTTGTTTTGCTGGAGAATCGACAAAGTAAAGATTGAGTACATTATATCAAGTTTGAAAGTAGCACTAGTAACAGAAACATTGAGAAGCAGCAGATTATCTTGGTATGTAGATGTGATGAGAACAGATGATTTGCATGTAATTATAAGGGTTATGAGCATGAACGTGGAGCGATGTATGAAGAGAGGAAGACCAGAGAAATAAGGATAGACTGTGTAAAAAAGATTCGACGGTTGATCGAAAATTATCGACGAAAATACATATTGCGCCGATAACAAATAAATATTCGTGGAATGAGCAAGCAAATGATGAATCTAACGGTCAGTTCCACAAACAATAATTAATGTTTAATGACGCATTTAAGCTCTAAAGAATGTGAAATTATATCGGTAATATGTCCCTTTAAAATAATGACAATTCGAATGGACATTTGTGCAACTGACTGCATGTGTTTTGTCTATGGAGCACTTCTGGATTGTCTGTACTTAAATTGTTGGTTTTTGGTTTTTGCATGATTGCTGGATGCAGTAAAATAAATAAGGTCAGAGTTTTGTCTTTACACTCAGCTATAAATTTCCCCGAATTAAATTTTAATTTTACTTAGGACTGTAATTATTTTCTGGTACAGATTACTTACTACTAATAAGCTGAAATAACAGATTACTGACCATCTAGCAGCATTGTGGCGACGTTATTAAAACGAAATACATATTCAGTAAAGTTTAATTATCATGTTTTTACACAGCGCCGGGCACGTTTCGCAACCGTTGGCAATTAAAATTTCCAATAAGAAGTTATCGTCTATAACTTACGTATACTGTAATGACTTGTACAGTGATATATTGCCTATTGAGAACCGTGTGGATCTCTATACTAATATATAATGGATATTTGTAGCTGGGTGTGTAGTTGCATTTGCAAATATATGATTGGTATTTCTAAATGGTATGCTGACGATATAATTCTTGACATTTTAAGAAACTATTATGAACTTTGAACTAAGACTCGGCGCATATCTGACGATAGATGAGTAGCGTTGTCGCGAAACGGCAGAACTGTTACATTTTATGATACTGCATATGATGTAGTTTTCTCTATGTGTAGGAATTTGTCATATCAGTCTAGATGTTGTTAAATTGAAATTTATATAACGTTTTTAAATTACATTGCCTTACAATCAGATAATCAAATCTTACCTCTTTTTAATATTAGTGTATATGACATTCGATATTTGATTTTTTGCACCGACCCTGAAAGCTTATAATTTTGATAATGTTGCAGAAAATGATTTCTTTACCTATAGATACGGCACAAAACAGAAAAATAGGAACCTATGGGTAAATCTGTAGGGCTATATGTTTTTTTACAATGTAGTATCTATATGTCGCATTTGGTGCGTTATTGCGACTCGCTCTTGCCATTTTTACTACCTGTTATAATTACTAAAATAAGCAGTAAGCGATTGTTTTAAATGTATTACTGGTGACTACGTTCGATTTGATTTTATTGGCGATTTGCCATCGCCTGTAGGGTGAAATCACGTCTATTAGTATCGATGATCATTTGGTCTATTGAAAATGGATTTCATTGTTCAGAAAACAAATTTAGAGCTCCATTTGACGTAATAACCACCCTCACACTATCCATTAAGACTTCTTTTTCTCTCCATTGGTTGCCTGGAAGAAATTGCTGCACAACAATAAGGCCACCATTAGTGTTCTGTTTCTTCTTAATGTAATTTTCCTCTAACCTGTCTTATATTGAGTGCAATAAAGTGTATTATTATTATTAAAGTTTATGTATGTACTAGAACTGAAACTTTAGGCTGAACGTAAAGACTTTCTATATATTATACTTACATATGTATATCTCACTACCTTTTAACTAACTACTCCCAAATCAGTAGGATATAGTCGTCGGATACAAAGTCAACAAAATATTTATCAATTCTTCTTTTTTAGTAATACTAGAAGTATTTGAATTAATGGTTAATGTTGAGGGTAACTCTGTGATTTTTTTCTATCGATAAAATTTTATATATTTACATTTTGAATCTGGCAAAACCATTGAGTGTCGACAGGATAACGATGCATATCTGATTGAATATGCCAAAGTAATTGACAATATATGACATTCAATGTTGCACACACAATGACACGACATTCAATGTTGTCTTTTACGTGAAAAGGCCACCAATGTGACATTGGCGGAATCGTGTAAACAGACTAGTGGGTCTTGAATTGAATAAGAAGAGGAAGAAGGATGATCCTTCACGTACTAACGCATATTTCGTGTGACGTACAATTATTTAGTTTTTTCATTTATAATTACAACTTATTTGGACGACTTTTAATACGAAACGTTTAAGCGAGAATTTAGATGTATTATGTCATCTTCCCTTTGCTAAAATCTATTGTGATTATTAAACACGAACTAATTGACAAATATCATCGTGTTTCCTCGGGTCATCCTCGGGTTTTCTCACATTCACATAGGTTATGTAAAGCTTACATTCGCCATAAGTCCGTACTATTTATTTAATGCTACCATTTTCGTGACAAATATACTTTTTTTAAATATTACCGAATTTTGGATATATGTAATCTCTTTTTTACCAGTAGTTAAAATTTTATCACAGTTGAAATGACCGTTTTCCTGTAAATTTGGATAAAATAACAATTCTGGCGAAAACAAAATGCGATAAGAGTTACGTTACAAATCAAAGAACTTGATTTTTAATATGCTAAAGAGCCCATTCTCGTTTGTTAAATGTATGCATTTTTCATGTGATGAACATAGTATATGTATGTGAACTGTAAAACATACTGAACATCCGTTTTGTTTTGACGAATGACTGTTTTGTGGATTTGAATCACTGTTCTATAGAAGTTGTAAATTCTTGGAAGTGTAGTTGCAATTGTATTGTTATCAGATTGTTATTCATGTTTTATCTACGAGATTTATATGTACATAGTCTGTGGCTTGTATTATTGTATATATTGATTGGAGCTATTATTGAATAGCTCCAATTAATCTTGACCATAGTTATTGTGATGTGAAATAAAATGTCGTTAATCTTGTTAACATTGTGTATCTTTTCCGTTCAAATAACATTGTAAGTTTTTAATTAGTTTTATTTTCAATTTACATGAGGCATTTAGTGGTAATTTCCCTCAATTATTTATTAGCATGTAACGCCCCCACTGCTGAGATATAGACTTTTCACAAGAAAACACAGTACCGGCTCTGTTGGGGTTAGTACACTATTACCTAATAGCACAAACGTCTATTAAGGTTTAATAACGACTTTAAGCTCTAATGAAAGTTCTAATTACGAAAATTTGTATAGGTGATGCCAATTTTAGTGGACGGTTATGCGACTTTGTATTGGTACCCCAAAGTTAGCGCTGAGTGTTGCTTCTTTCGTATAAAGATATATGTTCATCTGTCGTCGAATGTTCACCTGAAATAGGTATAATTTGGTAAAAAGGTTGCTTGTAATATCTTTTGGTATATTTTTGAAATTTTGGATTCGTTTATTCCATTGTGAACGAAGCAAAGTTAAACTTTGTGAGGATAAATAAATCATGTGACCCGGTGCACTCTGAATATATTACTATTGAAAAACAGTTCAGTAAACGCAAATAAATAGATACTTGATGCCAAAGACGTGTTATTCAACTAATTAATATCTAAAAAAAAGTATAATTATTTTAAGTCAAATGGTTTGGCTACACATCTACTAAATATACCTAGACATTTCACGATCTCTTGTTGTTCATATTGTATCCTATGGTGCCGTCTTCTTGCGTAGTAATGCCACCCCCATATCCTTGAAACTTGAACAGTGATGTGGTGCCATCATTGACGGAAGTCGCTAAGCCAAGATCTTCTGCGGCCTGGCTTTCTCTTGCCTACAATTTTTCTCTGGATTTGTGATTTGAAGGACTCGTATTGTATATTTGTCACAAAACTTTGTCAAAAACGTATAAGTTTATTTAAGTAATTAATTTCACTGCTTGAAGTGAAGAATAGTGACAAAGATCAGTGCATCATTATCTTTATGCGATCAGTCTTGGTGGCTGAGTTATTTAAGCGAAGTGGTGTTTTTCGTAACTATCAATGAAGAGCTCAGATATGCTCCCCGGTCAATAGGAATTGATGGCAGATAAACGCGCTCTGTCCATTTCATTGAAATTCGGCAAACTGTCATCATCCCTTTGGTTTCCACGGTTTTGTCCTAATTTGGAGGACGAGTGTTTATGTTCTATCTGGGGTTAAAATTTTCGTGTGCTTTAATTTTTGACGTTACAAATGTCCAATGACGACGTAACAATAGGCGGCGATAGATACGTCCGTATTTTGTGCCAGAAATAATGGATTTCGAGCACTTCGTAACGCGTACCAATATATACGAAACAATTGCATCAGTTAGATATTACCTATTATTATACATTACATCTAAATTACCTATAGATTAATTATTTATTTACATCAAGTTTACACTACAATTTATTATAAAATTCTATTCCGTTTCTTTTCCAGTATTTATATTTTCCATTTTAATTGTGTTTAAGAGGTACTCATTGTCAACTTTGCAAAAGCAGCAAAATTGATCAAATATAATGAATAAGAAAAATTAAGAAGTAACCCAGGCCTCTAAATTAATAGCATGCGAACGACAGCAGTGATGCAAATGGACGAAAACTCAGTGGATATTAAATAAGAGAGCAGAACAGATGACCAAAATGTAAATATAATGTTTTGCTTGTCCAGTGTTAGCATGGTGGTGGTGCTGAACGGCGTGCTCGCGGACGAGTGTCCGACGTCTGTGCGCGCGCTCCTTGCCAGCCATCCCGGGTACAGAGATGCGGCTGCGCAGCTGTTGGCCGCCGCGGCTAGAGTCGTACCACCACAGGGGCTGCTCTATGTTGGTCAGCGAGAGCTAGCCGCTGTAGTACCCCATGACAGTGAGTATTCTATTTATTTAGGTATTTAGTTAATTCGGGCATCTGTTTGAGGGTTTTAAAATCGCATGTTACAGTTCCGTGCAGGAAAATTAATTTTGGGATTTGTACAGTATAAGAAAGTTAATGTTCTAAGTAGCATTTGAATATTATGGAAAATGTGATTTTAAACTGATTTTTAAGACTGGGTAGCCGTCGAAAAAATATAACTAGAGATGCAAGGTTCATATAATATCTAGAAAGTAACCGATATATGTTAACGGTTACAATCGATATCGATATATCGCTTCACAAAGCCGATATATCGATATCTTTTTTGGGTCTTAGGTAAATAAAATAACCATGTCAATAAAATACGTTTTATTATAAATTTATTTAAAATCGGCGGTGCCGGCTACTTCATGGTTACTAAGCCTTTTCCTACTTTTTCTTGTTTGACTTAGCATGACGAACTCGACAGCATCTTATTTTCCCAAATGTCACGTTTAGATTGGGAATAACACATTATTTTTAAATTAAGAACAAATAATAATAATAAAAGATTACTACAAAGTTCAAAGCAAAAATATAGAGTTATAAAATAATGTTAAAATCAGGGTTATAACATATGTTGAAATTTGGAAAACTGATACACTCTTAAGATCTCATTGGATATTAGATTTCGATATGTTGGTATTTTCGATATCAATATATATCTGTTTTTCGATATATCTTTGCATCCTTAAAGATAACCCATCTAGCCTGGCCTATAAACCTAGAGCCTTAATTCTTTTGTAGCCGCTATGCATGTTCCTTTGGGAACAAAACAGAATAGTCTTGTGCCACGGAATCCATTTTTTGGTCTAAGAATTGGGACAGGTATTTCAGAAAATGTTTATCTGAAAGGAAAGGCACTTGACTTATAAATTTAAAGTTAACTAACCATGGTTTTTTTTATTTTTATAGAAAACGTGAGCATCATTGGTTCAGACGACGCGACATCATGTATTATAGTAGTTGTCAGGCATTCAGGTAAATAGATTCCATGACTAACAGTAACAGATTTAAAACGTTCATATTTTCTAAACCTTGAGTCAAAATTATCAATGAGTAAGTATTTAAAAAAAAAATCCCGAAATCAAACTAGATTTCGCTATGGTACTTCCTTGATTTCTCCATGACAGTTCTTCCGGTTTTCTTTCATGTATAAAAGTAAATTAATTTTCAACACTCAATAAAAAACTCATATTCTATTTGTACTTTTTCGTATTTGTATTGATATCTTAGTTTCGAACTTTGCAAATTTTAGTTTTTTAATATGTTAGTTAAACGGAACGGGAATTACTATCTCTGGTCCATTCGTTTCCAGCAAAAATCGAATTGATAGAGTCGCCATCTAGTGAGGTGCTTTTTAAGTGGTTTCTTTTTTTTTTTAACACTTCCTCATTAAAGACATTCATTCGATAGCCTTGGATGTGATGTGCTCTTGACAGTACAAATTTTAACCAATTTCTTATTCAGATTCTTCCAAGTAATTCATACTCTGATGATCTAGGGTCTGGAGCCGTCGCGTTATCTCACCTCGACGGCTCGGGGACGGCGGAAGCGGCGGCCGCGATGGTAGCGCGCGTTCAGCAACTAGCAGTCGGCTACCCTGAGGGTAGATTAGAGTTACAACTGGTGGGCGGCTTCACTGATCCACATCGCTACTCGGACGAACTGTTCGCAAATATTATGCGTGAGTATATTTGACACTATAGATATATAAGAAGAGCTTAATAGCGAATATATTCGGTCTGTGATTACGGACGTTGAGCACTTCGCCGAGGCTGTTGGATAAGTTACCAAAAACATACTGTCATGCATGTCATGCAAGGTCCGATAAGATGTTGGGGTCTTGGCTATTGAAAAAAAAAGAAACAGGACAGACACTCCAGAAGTATATAATGCAAATGCTGAACAACCCATAGAATAACGGGAAGCATAATGACATTGACATATGTAATTTTTATACTGATATTGTACAGTCCCTACCTACCCCGTAAAAGAAACTTAAACAAATATTTGCGCTTTTGCTAAGGGTGTTGAGCTAATCAATCACAATTGCTGGCGGAAAATCATGTTAACAATAAACCTAAAACATTAAGCGTTTGAACTCGGAAATAAATAATTGAGATTGACGCCAGAGGTCGCGACAATAAGCCGCTGTATCGCTGCCAACGTGAAATTATTAGTGGAACGGCGCGTAGGCGGCCGCTGTCTAGTTTTGTTGCACTTGAAATACAGACAGTATGATGTTTTCAGAATTGCGTGTGGAAATTGTTTAGCACGTCGTGTATGGCGTTGTCATATCTGAATTTTCCCTTTTTGTCAAAACTCATTCTTAAGTTAATTTAATTGGAAGTAATATAAATGTTTCAAGATTATTAAGGACTATGATAGCGACCGCCTGTCTTGCTATATAGCTATGAAAATGAATATTATTATATTCTTAATATATGCTCAAAAAGTCGATGAAGAGCTAAGCGAAAGATACAATATTCCTGCCTGCCTCAGAAAGTTGAAATCAACACAGAATATTTCAGAAAAAATAAACTTATTTTATTTCTCTCTTGAGAAAGAGACATAAGATGTGTTAGATGTATAAAGAATTATTATTAAAGATTACGTACTATTTTCTACATTACACTTTGGTCGCAAACGCAGTGTATATATGATGTGGATATATTAACTACATACAAAGATTAGCAGACTATCAGTGATTTGATTTTTTATCTATAAAATGTGGATTTCCAGGAATGTGGTGTTCGTCACTTTGGTAAAATAACTTTTGAAAAACATGTAGACATTGCCATTGTGCAATCTATAACCCCGATATTATATATCGTCCAACACTGCCAATGAGGAAGTATTAAAAAAAAAAACGAAAGCACTAAAAAAGCACCTCCACTAGATGACGACTTTAGCAAAAGTTGACTTTTGCAGGAAACGAATGGACAAAAAAAAGACAGTCATTTCCGTTCCTTTTAACTAACATATTAAAAAACTGAAATTTGTATAGTTCGAAACTTAAATATCAATACAAATACGAAAAAGTACAGTTTATTGAGTTTTGAAAACTAATTTATTTTTAATCTTGAAAAAACCGGAAAGGTTGTCATGGAGAAATCAAGATCGTACCGTAGTGACATCTAATTTGATTTCGGGAACTAATATATTTTTTTATATATTTCTGCATTATTTCTCCGAACTTTCCAATTGTTTGCCCAACTCGACAACATAGTTTGTGTATGCTTGACGATGTCGTATTCTATTTTTTGTTCTGTTTTGATAGCTTGTATGTTTAGACTGTGTCATGCATGTCACATTAGGGTATTGACCTGTTGGATGATATCCTACTTTTATAATAGCAAGTCAATTATTTTCGTTTAGGGTTTTTTTGCTGGTACTAAATGATAGATAGTTTTCATTGGAATTCGAAATCTAAAGTAGATATAGTTGAAGTATTTGGTATCAAGAATATCTAGGCATTTTTTTAGATTTTGCTCAGGTGATAAATACTTTCACCTTCACTTTACTATTCTATGAGCAAAGTGAACAGCCTTGGGCATTTTAAAATAACTCTAAAGGAAGGATGCGGGTAGTGGTGTCGGTGATGAATGAATATGAGCTGTTCAAACGAAACCAACTTAATGGTGGTTGCTAAAGTTTGCGACCTGGCTAATAGTCTCGATGATAGCACAGCTCTAAAATACTATAAACTATCTTAAGATAGCAGTCGTAGCAAGTATGTTTTATGTTTGATCATCTTCTTGAATGTGTTAAGCAATTTTCACAATGGTCTATCATTAGAAGAGTGATAAAAAATGTATTATCTCCATCACCTGTACTCCACAATCATAAGGCATATTAAGTCGTCGATCCTGACTCCATCAACAGTAGTTACTACCCACCAGTCATTGGGTCCAGATGTGGCCCATTTAGGAAGAAGAAAATCGTTTATTGTCGAGATCACATAACATACACAATAACATTAAATATGTTCTTAATAAAAAATGTTTTAAAAAAGCACTTTGTCCCTGGCACTCTGCGATGGGACTCGAACCCATGACCTTTCGTAATCCCGGTGACTGCTCTATTCGCCCAACAACGAATAGTTGCGAGTTGGAGTCCTATCGCAGAGTGCCGGAGACAGTGGATTTTTTAAGCATTTTTTATTAAGAATGTTTTTCAGTATAGTATTGTGAATGGGTTTATTAAATATGGGTGAATGAATGAATGAATTGACACTTTATTGTACACCACAAAGAAAAACAAGCATAAATTTACAGTACAGTTGGCGGTACGTTAGACTGGATTGACTGAAATTATTTATGGGTAGATTATGGTGCATCACAAATTATGCAAAATTATTTTCACTATTATTATTAAATTCTAAACTCAATACATATACACATATGTGAAGGGTGATGGATGACACACTTACAATTTTTTCTTGGACCACTACACATGATACACACATTTACATTTTGTTGTATTTCATTAAAGAAAGCTAAGGCAGGCGGTAACCGAAGGCTGTAGTAGATTAACCCCCGGTTACCGACAGTTTTTTTAGCCACCGAAAACCATTCGTTTTTGCGTTTCACAATTCAAAATATATTGTAGAAAGCATCTGGAGCAATAATTAAGTGGTAGTATTGTAACGGTGTGCCATGCCACCGTTTGTTTTCCTAGGTTTCAGTATGCAAACTTTTTGCTTTTGAAATTCAACATCATTTCATTTTACTATTCGTCTTTCGTAATTTAAAATTTTGACTAATCAATTTTACTCTTTATGGATGTCAGTTCGTAAGAAATTCTCCTATACACAAGATGAAATTATAATATAATACAATATTATTGGTATAAATTTTACTATGTAATTTTAATAATTCATATATTATGGTGATACAATAATATAACATATTTACTAAATTAAAACTGTATTTTGTACGATCCAAAAGTGTAACAAGAAGCCCGACAAGGGGTATGTATTCGTTTATTTGATAAGAATGTATTAGTTTAAGTAACTTACGAACTGTTTTTTAAATTTATTTTTGTTTGTTACAGTTTTTTATTATTACCCTTATTTCACTAATAAATATATACTCAAGCTAAGCAGCCTTATTAATTGACCCAAGCACCGAACCCGTAACAGTATGAGCCCTTAAAGGTACAAACACTGACATGATTATAACATAAATTCTTCTAATTGAAACCACAAGACACATTGAGCTCTTCTACAATATTATTTTTTTAATGAAAAACTGTTACTTTTCTATTAATTAACAAGGGAAAACGTATAATTTATAAATATTTTTACTATAACCGACGTAAAATGGCCGGTAGGCAAATTTGATAGATAAGCTACGGATAGTAAGTTTGACAGCTCTACGGACGGATAGATTTTTTTTATCGAGACACCTTTTTTACGCCATTTTCATACATTTTGCCCGCGAACGGTTATCAGTATCAGATCAATCCATTAGTAGCACACCACCGGTAGCTTTATCTACCAATGGTATGTTATTGAAACACTTTGCTACCATCGGTAGGATATGCTACGGATGGTAGCACAAACGTATAGTTTTTTGGTTATTGAAACCGGAGGTAAGATGGTGTCACCGTGCGTTGCAGTGTCGTTCCACCGGCTGAGCGTGGAGATAGACCTGCTGCTGGCGTGCAGCTGCGAGCTGAACACGGCGCTGGGCGGCGGTGCGCCCGCGCCGCTGGTGACGGGCGCGGGCGTGGACGTGCGCTCCGGGGAGCTGTTCCCCGCCACCTTCCCCGACAAGGGGCCCGAGGTGCCGCTGCGGGGCGCGCGCATGATCACCGGCGGCCCGCACTCCGCGCAGGTGACGTATACTAGTGATCAGAGTTACATTGCAGCATTACAGCAGTGGCGGACTAAGGGGCGGAGCTGGGCTTTCAAATGGTTGCAGAGTCCCTTGATTACGTTATAAATTCGGGTTGGAGGCCCCGTAGATAAATAAGTACAGCCTGTAGCTGGAATACTTACCGCCCCAGGCCCCCAATGGGGCTAATCCGCCACTGCATTACAGAGAAAGAAAAAAAGGTCATCAGACAGTGTATAAAAAGGCGGCCTTATTATTATGCAGTGTTCTCTTCCAGACAAACAATAAAAAATTATTAATTAAATAGTTATCCCTAAAGATAAAAATATATATGTATATGAAAGAGAGAGTTAAAAGTTTGAGAGAAAGTAGCTTTTCATTTTTGTGACGAAGTGCTACTCGCACTTTGCGATCCTGATTCTGATTCCTGATAGTTTCTGGTAATGAGTTTCAAAGCCGTACAGCTTAAACAGAAAAGATAGGATATGAAGTCGTAAGTGTGAGGCAGAGCGCAGAATGCACTGAGATGCGAAAGGAAAAAAGTCCTATCCTTACATAAAAACTATATCTAAATATATATAACAATATATAAAACAACGGATTTATATACACCAACATAAATAAATCATATTATATATATATAAAAGATAACACATAAAGTACGAACACTCTGATGTCAGATAAAGAAAATATTGTTGAAGCAAGATAAAAGTTTCGATCTGCTATCTTGAATACAAATTTATTAGGATTCGTTTCATCATCATCAGCCTTTTTACCTCTCCACTGCAGGGGCTCAGGCCTTCCTAGTGCATGGTTAAGGAGGATGGCCCGTGACCCTCCACGTGAGCCCAATGAAAATTTTACGGCCTTAACGACTGCAAATGCAGCCGGCACCAACGACATAACGTGCCTTCCGAAGCACCGAGTAGCTCATATTAGTTAATATTTTTTTGGCCACCCATCCAGTGACCGACCCTTGCGAAAGTTGCTTAATATCAAAGCTTGTGAGCCGCGGCGCTTATCCATTACGCCACCGAGGTACTAATTTTTACTTATTACCAGTTAGGTAAAACTAACAGTTGTACCGCGATTTCGACCGCGTAAATTAGTCTAACACTCGCTTGAGCTTCCTGTAAGTGAAAGGACTTTCATGAGCGGAGCACTATCCGAAGATTACCCCCTACAAACAAACAAAGTTGGAAAATTTAAGTTTTCAAGTTAGCCAAAGATAACATACATATAGCTGGCGTTATTTACACCATACGTTGTCCGTATATCTTTATTTTTTTTTCTCCCTATGTACGTATGTGTGTGCGTGCGCGTGCGCATACGTTGATTGGAAAACTACATATGAGAAGTCTGAGAAACATTGAAAGCGTAAAAAAATCTTAACCATTTACATTTAAATATAAAAACAGCATACGATATTTAAATTTATTTTTACTGAAATAGGGATGATGACTGGGTAAAAAAAAATGCAATTCTATTTAGTCCGTCTGTCAGATAATAGAAAAATATTAGATACGTATTTTTTTTACTTCAATTTAACAAGAAATAGCTTCGATAACAGGCATTAAAGTTGAGGAGTGGAGGCTCGCTACGTCACAGTTGAGTAGAAAACGTACCCTAACGTGACGTCATGCGAAATTTCAACTCCATGTAACGCCGTAATTTTATAATTACGAAAAAAACAAAAAAATACGTGTTTAATATTTTTTAACACTCTACCTGACGGACAAACAAACAAATATTAGTCATCATCCCTATTCACTCATTTGTTATGTCACGTCCACCAACTGGCTGTTCATTACACGAGTTTTGAGTAAATGAAAGTTGATTTACGTAAAACAATATTTTCTATAGAAATAACCATAGCAATGTACGTGTTCCCAGGTGCTTGATATCTACGATAACGCGGTGGGCATGTTGCGCATCGGGCCGTTCAACTACGACCCTTTACGCGGCGTCGATCTGTGGCTCGAACAATCCGATGACTTTATTCTGCAACATTTGAGTACCACACCCGCTGTTGAACCGCCGCACTTCGTTCACAATGTAAGATTTTTAAAAGATAGAGGAGCTATTAAAATTGCGATACTTTATGTATAAATGTAATGTATTTATTTGCAATAAATAGGGTTATGCGTAAAAGGATGATAATTAAGTTAAGCGAGAGCTTTGACCTATTTAACCATCTTTAATAGTATGCATGTTTTGAAACCGCTGAGCGAGTCATTCCGTAGTAGTATGTAATAAGCCATTATATTGCTTTTGATTTCGAAATGAGAGGAGAAAAACGCTACTTTAATTTATGAATTGTCTAAGATGGTGCTTCGCATTGTAATTGCGTAAGTAAGGCGACTTTCATAAACGCTTGGCATTGGAGGGTTATAATTTTTTTTATCTAGTTCCTCTTTTGACATATTAGCACTCGACTCACCAGTTGTTCTACTTCAGTAGTGGAAACAATTTATATGTTTTTATTCTATAACAATGGGTTAATTATGATGACTGTTTATTGGAGTACTTTCTAAACGCTGAATTGTATGGTTTACAGATCCGCGTGACACTAAGGTTCATCCAGCAGCATCCGTTCCCGGCCGTGACCGTGTTCCCGGACAACCGCCCGCACTACTACCGCCGCGACGACCACTCCGGCTGCTGGACGCCCGTGCGGTTCTAGTGTAACTACATTTTACCCACTCCATATAATTTTACAGTTAATTCTAACTATACGTTACCGGTCACTCTGATTCCGTGTAACGGCCACTTTTTGGTTATCTGTAGAATTTTCACATTACCCATCGCGACGGCATGCCCTCCATAAATAATAGAGGGGCAACGAAATAAAATGCATTGAAAATCTGAAAATTTGTTTACCTCGTCCTATTAAAATTTTCACTTTCGATTCTCGGCTTTACCAATGAATATTTTTTGACTAGATTTTCGTAATTCCCGAAAAGATTTCCAGTGTACTTCATTTAAAAAATAAAAAATTATTGATGAAAAGATATGAAATATTGTAAGAAAACAGTCACATAAATTTAATATAAAATAAAGTGACAGTTATTCTTATGGACATATCTGATTTTATTTTTTAAATGTTACTTAAGAAAAGAATTGACAAGGGTGTTTCAGTTATGTTTACATTTTTTTGTTTAATTTAGTGATGCCAATGTTTTGCATGAATGTGAATTTTGATTATTAAGTTTTGTTTGTATTTTCAAATTCAATTACGTTTGCTTATTGTAATTTGTCATATAATTATTTTTAAAAGATGTATATGTATGTGTCATTTATTGTGATAATAGTACCATTGTGTTTACTGCTATCTGGCTAAGATTGATTGAGCTTTGATTCAAATTTTATTAAGTAGGTATCAGTATCACTTTTAAATTGGTGTGAATAATCATTTAACAACAAAAGTTAGATCTTTAAAAATTTGTTTTGTTAAATTCAAAAATTGTAATCATTTCACTTAATTTTGTCTATAAATATGAATTGTGTCTGAATGTTGTAGTTTTGATATGTTAAATTGTATATTGTATATTTTAATTTTAATTAAAACCTGAACAAGAATACATTAAACATGTGTATACTAAAGTATACATTAGAAAATATGATGAATTGCTTATAACGAAATAGAGGTTTTGAAAAAAAAGAGCAATGGTCATTATAATAACTAGTTACATTAATTTGACTCCAATGAAAGGATGTATTGGTTATGAAATTGATTTGATAACGCACATATAAATGAACATTTGAAGTCTTACTAATAAGCAATGTGTAAATATTGTGTAGCTAGGGTTGGTACGCACATCTTTCTCGCTCTTGCAAATAGCGGTTCTGAGCGCCAAATGTAACCCAACCCTTATGCAGTGTTTGTATTTTTCAATCGAACTCAAAGTCGCATTGGAATGACATCAAGTGAAGTGTAAATGATCAATGGTTACAAATTTCTTATTAGTAAGGATCTAAATGTTGATTTGGTAGTTATAGCACAGTATAATTAATAATGGTAGTTGCTATATATTTTAAGTCATACTGAACACAATTAATATAGTTGTTGATATCTTTGAATATAATGCAGTTGTAAATATTATGGAATTCAATTAGGTGTAATTTAGTTAGTGACGTTAATAGTTATTGTTTTGTGAAATATAATGAATATATTGAAGTTCTTTATGTGTTTTATGAATTTTCCTTGTTCGTATTAATACCATTTCACCATTATATATGAGCAGAAAAAACTTTTTACCCATTTTTAAGAAAATTGAGTGGACGGAGGAGTGGCAAAGTTGAAATTTAATGTGTATCAGTATATCAGTGTTACCCTCTTTTATTTTGCAATGAATTCTTAATCTGTCTAGTCCCTTATTTATCAGTCCGTTACGAAATAGGTTTAAATAGCAAAATTACGTAGCTTCGGATGTAAACGAGATTCTTTGCGGCACTGCTGGGCTTACGCCAGTCTGACAAAGCCACACTATATCTCCTAAACGGTTCTCTGCCTTTTCGGCGAAAATCGTCTGGCAGATCATCATTTGCCAATCAACGTTTCGCCGAATTTTATTTCGCCGAATAATCATTTGCCAACTATATCACTTAGTTTTGTTTTATTTCCCAACTTAACTATTGCCAACTGTACGTTTGGTCTGGCTTTTATAATGACACTTTTCACAAGGCCAACTTTCAAGTAGCGAATGTTTCAGATAGAGTAATATTCATTTTTCTATTATAATTTTCTAAATCTAAATATTTATAATTATTTTTCTAATGTTGCTAATATTTAAGTGCCCTGTGTAGTAAAGCGATTCGGTTCTGGCACTTCGCCGGCTGCTGCCGCAGCACGCTCGCTTCGCTCGCTCGGCTCGTGCGTTGTTGGTCGCAGTTCTAACCTAACCTAACCGATTTCTTTCGATTTCACCTCAACTACGTTCCGCACTTTGAAATTTTGCTAATGGTATATAAATTTTTGTTGTTATATGTACTTATTACAAGTTTTTATTTATTTCAGGCAAGTTCAAGACCAGGGTTTCGCCAAAAGATATGCAAGCGACATTCAGTTTAATATAGAGGTGAAGTGTTTGTTAGCACTCAGTTTTCTTGAGGAATCTGAAATATACGTATATTTCGAAAGTATCTTAAAAAGTTTGAAAGATCCAGATTGGCAACAATTAGCGCATTGGTTCGAAAACAATTATGTACACGGAACATCAACCACACAACCTAAATATCAGCCTAGATTTTGGAGCTGCTATGAAACAAACAAGATGAATATACCACGAACACAGAACTCGGCCGAAGCCTGGCATAACAAAATAAACAATATTATTGATAAAAATCACCCAGGTGTTTATGAATTGATAAAACAATTAATAAAGGAAACCGTTGCCAACGAGGGGGAAATAGAAAATATATTAACAGGTGCCCCACCAGAACCCAAGAAAAAAAAAAACTTAGACAAAGACGAAAGAATCAACAGAATTCTTGAACACAAATCTTCATATTCACATGAAAAATTATTAATGTGCATTGCTGCTAATTTGAAGTGTTAATTTTTTTTTGTAATTCTTTATTAAAAATTGCATATCGAAATTAGTTTATTTTATATCATAATTTAAATGTACGAAAAGGGTACTGTTATACAGACGAAACGTTATTCGTCTAAAAGTTGTCTGGCCTAGTGAAGGATTTGATAAATGATAAGTGCCCGGAACGTGTTCTGTCATTACAATAATGAGCTTAACAATAATTCTACCAAATGAAACGTTGTCATACAAAAATTTGACAATCATTAGTTGTCAAAGTGAAAATCAGGCGAACCGTTGGTTGGCAAGTGATAATCCGCTAAACAATTTTCGGCGAGAAGGCAGGATACCCTCCTAAACTCTTAGTCTTGTTCTTATAAAACATTTGACACTAGACATTCTGTGAGTATTTACCACTCTAGGTATCAGAATAATTATGAATTGCTGCCTGTCCTGCCGAATTCTATCAGCAGATAGCTTTAACTTTCCTAATGATGAAATCGTGGCAAAGACACTCATACTAAACCACAGTTCGGCAGGAGTTACGCACCTTTGTAGTACACCGCACCGCCGTAGTTTTGCGAACCGATGGCGTAGTTTTCGACTTTAACAAGTGCTCTGTAAAAGCCTAAACTGAATAAATAAATTTTGATTTGATTTGAAGGATAAAGCCGTATAGTAAGAAACGTTCGCGCTCAATCGGTAGTTGGCACTGTAATGTCTAAGAATTCCAAAGGATCAAAGGATACTCCGCGGAGGGGCGAAGCACGTGGAGTGAGGTGGCAGTTAGTGGTTAAGAGATTTGTTGGCAAAAAAATATTTAAAGTACATTTATTTACGGGTGAGCGGGCGATCCACAGTAAGCCTTGTAGATCTCAGATAAAATTTTAAAATTTCATGTGAGTTGCAGATACTGTCCGATGTCGTAGTTTCACAGTCTTTAGCAATAAGCTTACGCAATATTACGCCTGATCCTAATAATTTAATATAATAAAGCTTTATTCTTGTGTCAATAATGTAATTTTCATATTTCTTCTGAGAAATCCTGCTTATGTGCTCTTAGTATTATGGTCTATTTATAATTTTCAATCAGTGCTACAAAAACCTATTTAAATAACTTTATCTATATCGATTATTATATGACGAACAATACCCATTGAGGCGCACCAGCACATCAAAATAAGAATATAAAAGTTACTGCATTTAATGCGCGTATTCGTGCAAATGACTTTTATCATTTTTTTTCATCGAAATCCGACCAGGATTACCGATATTACAGCGTTGTAAAATTTTCACCGCTTTTTTAATTTCCGTTTCTTCGCGCGCTATGTGATGACGTCACGTCGTGACGCGTCAAGACAGACTACTTCTGTGCGACTGCGGATGATGAGAATGTTTATGTTATGGATAAAATTTTATTTGTAAAGTGGATTGCATTTTATATTTTTAAGTGTTTGTTATTGTGCCTGTGTTGCTTATACATCAATTTGGATATTATTCTTACTGAACTAACATAACGATGGCAAGGGGTTTTGTAAAAGGACAGTCGGATAACCCACCAAGTCGTCATTTTATGGTTGCGCGATATTTGTCCAAGAATAGTGAATATGTAGTAGCTGAAATGCGAGCGAGTAGCTGAAAACCGAATAAATACGTAATGTCTAACTACTCGTTTATGTTTCTAGGTATTTAAATCAAGTTTGGTAAAAGGAGACCGTTTTTTTTGTCGAGTTTCAAATGGCGGCAGGGGTTACAAACATTTTCAAAGTTCAACGTTAACTTCCAAAAATATTAAATGATCAAAAGGCAGTTTATATTATTTCATGTTTAACAAACAGGGGCGACGAACATTTTCTCAATTTATTTTTTAAATATAAATTTTTTCAATGGGTTACAGGCAAAAAGTTTATTTCATCCTTTATAGCAAACAATCTGGGTGGTTTTTTAACCGTCTTCAAAAAAGGAGGTTATCAATTCGAGTTGTATGAAACACGTGTGAAAAATTTTATTGATGTAATCTTTAGTTGTTTATAAAAAGTGGATATGTTACGGCTAAAGGTGGGTGTGAACGTAAACTTAAGATTAGTCGGCTAAACTTTGGTTCATCTTCGAGGTGTCAATGTTAGTTTCTTCTATCTTTAGCCAGCTAAACTTAAGTGTAACTGCAGGCCCTTGGCTAAAAATGTAGAAGGAAATGGAAAAGGAAACAATGTAATAATGTTTTCTATTTTGACACGAAAACTTATTAAAAAATTATCACTCTCATTAGTCTCATTACACATACTTTTATATACCTATGTAGGTATTCAACATTACAATTATTACAATTACAAAATATTAATTACTCAAAACAATATCTACCTAAGCATTAAAATAAAATATTTATTTAAGATATTTCTGTAGGTATTTAAAATATCATATCCGTGGGAGAGCCACGCTTCTGCATGAATGGGCCGGCTCGATACCACGGCCTCACAGAAAACCGACGTGAAGCAACGCTTGCGTTGTGTTTCGTCGTGTGAGTGAGGGTACCGGAGGCCCAACCCGCCCTTCCCTCCCTATGATGGCGCAATTGAATAGTAGCATTTTGGGTTGGCCAACCGTGCAATACGGTCGGGAACAAGTTGGGAAAACGTTAGTGAGATTTATTACAAAGTTCCAACTATCTGCCAACAGTTTTATTGCAGGAAAAAATACCATACGCACATCCAACTATGGCCCTACTGTCATTTATTGTTATTTTTTCTCACAAATATTTCTCACGTTAACCCAACGAAGGACCTACTATGATTTTTGGTTGGGTTGCCATCTCAAATGCCATACCAAAATGTTATATTGGCCCTACCATAGTTTTTCATTCATATCCCAACTGAAAAGCCCTACAAATTTTCAACCTGGGCCCTACCACGACTTTTAGTTGGAATCCTAACAAAAGTTCCACACAAAAATCTGCCGTGAGCCCAACCACAGTATTTTAATAATATTCCAACCGAAAATTCTTACTTATTTTCAAACTAGGCCCTACCACTACTTTTAGTTGGTATTGTTACGAACATTCCATACAAAATTAGGCGTAAGCCCAACCATAGTATTTTTATTAATATCCCAACTGAAAAGCCCTACAAATTTTCAACCTGGGCCCTACCATGACTTTTAGTTAGAATCGTAACAAAAATTCCACACAAAAATCTGCCGTGAGCCCAACCACAGTATTTTGATAATATGCCAACTGAAAATTCTACCTTATTTTCAAACTAGGCCCTACCACTACTTTTAGTTGGTATTGTTACGAACATTCCATACAAAATCAGGCGTAAGCCCAACCATAGTATTTTTATTAATATCCCAACTGAAAAGCCCTACAAATTTTCAACCTGGGCCCTACCATGACTTTGAGTTGGAATCCTAACAAAAGTTCCACACAAAAATCTGCCGTGAGCCCAACCACAGTATTTTGATAATATGCCAACTGAAAATTCTTACTTATTTTCAAACTAGGCCCTACCACGAGTTGAAGCAGAAATTTTATCAAAAATTCCATAGAAAATATGGCGTAAGGCCAACCACGCTATTTTTATTAGTATCCCAACTAAAAAGCCCTACTTTTTTTCAAACTAGGCCCTACCACGACTTTTAGCCGGAATCCTAACAAAAATCCCACACAAAAATCTGCCGTGAGATCAACCACAGTATTTTGATAATATGCCAACTGAAAAGTCTTACTTATTTTAACGAAAAAAAAAAGTCTTAAGTATTGTAACGAAAATTCCATACAAAATCAGGCGTAAGCCCAACCATAGTATTTTTCTTAATATCCCAACTGAAAAACCTTATTAATTTTCAAACTAATCCCTACCACGACTTTAGTTTTGAGTTTAGTACTAACATTAATATTTGTGAACATGCACAAAACTTTACAGACAGACTTCTTATTTATTCTTCTTTTATCTTGTAAACCTCTCATATAAAAATACTTCTGAAAAATCAAGTTTTACCATTTCATATTTTGCGGATTAAACTATTTAAAACCATTTTTTTTCCGGAGGTATAATTATTTTATTTAACGTTGATAATTCATTATATTTTTTTTTAGTTTTATTGTGATTATTATCTTCGTAGCACTTTTTAATCTTTATGTAGTGCCGTCCTTGGCCCATCTTCTTTCTTAAAAATTGGTTTGAGCCCAACTGCAGTATTTTTATTAATATCCCTACTGAAAATGCAAAGAATGTCCCAAACATACTACCCCATCCTACCACAGTTTTGAGTTAGATTTTTAAGAAAAAGTTAATACAGATATCTGATGAGGGCCCTATCTAGTATTTTAATAATATCTCAACGACTCCCAACCGAAAACGCCTACAAAGGCTCAAAGAGGCGCCATCTTATTTTTTGATTTCGCTAATGTTGCTAGATGTAAGGACGTTCTCCCAATTTGGACTATATTCTCAGCATCAGAGAAAATGTCAAAATATATATGGATATTTTTAAAGAATGTTATGTAATGAGAATTCACTTGATAAAATATCCAACAAATAAAATATTAAGGTATTACTTATTACTTACTCTAGAGATTTTTCTGACATAACACAATTTGACACCTTTGTACGATCTAATTTTCATTTTACAACAGTACTACCATATTCTCCTTTACCAACATATGTTGGCTAAAGGAGAATGGTGACTTTGGATTTGACAACGTTTTAGGGGGTAATCTATAAAAATTGCTTTGTTTGAGAATTACAGCATACTTAGATTAAAAACATTACATAATATCATTCGAAAGTATAAAAAGTTCTGTCTTTCTTTTTGTAAGGAGTAATCTCCGGAATGACTGAACTGATTTTGATGTTACTTTCACTGGAAGATAGTTTTTATTACTTTTTACCCCAAATTCAAGCGGGTTCGGGATTTACGCGGGAAAAATCGTGT